ATCTGCCTGCCTCGGCCTCCCAAAGCACTGGGATTATAGGCATGAACCACCGTGCCCGGCTGTACACTCTAAATGGATGAAATGTATGGAATATCTCAATAAAAACTGTTGGAAAAAAAAAAAACCTGCCTTAAGCCATCATCGCCCATGGCAGGGCCAGAGCCATGGCCAGGCCCAGGCCCTGTACAGATGGATGTCCCAGCATCCCCAAAGCTGATGAGATGACGGTCAGCCTGACAGAGCTGAAGCTGCCAAGGCTCTGCCCTGGGGCACTCATCCAGGTTACCCCTTCCCCATCCTTCACAAACAACAGTCCTAAGCCAAGTGAGCTCCCGCCACAGTGGGGGCAGGATAGGAGCAGCACCAAGCCAGAATCTGCAGAAAATCCTTGTACCCGGACTTTCAGGTGCTTGTCTCGTCTCCACATTGAGACCAAGTGAAGAATTCTTATTATTCCAGCAGAGTCTCCTGTGGAAAAGGGGCCCAGGGGAGCAGAGCCATAGGGCTACCAAGTGGCAGAGCCAGGATACTGTCTGTTCCAGTGTGCCCTGGTCTCTAAATAAGAAAGAGGTAGAAATTCTAATACTGAGGCCCATCGCTCACTTCTAAGATACCTGATTAAAGGGTGCACTCAGCCCCCAAGCCCCCTACCCCTGCTATAGCCTAACCATTTGCTTCGGGGAATAGGTCAGCCTTCTTCCCCAAACCCAGCTTCCCAGAGAACTGGGGCAGGGGCTGCCAGAAGGAGACATGAGGGTACTTGCTGGTGCATGGTGGCATCCAAGACCCATGGCCCCGAGAACCCAGGCAGCCCCTTGAACTCTAAACTTCAAGTGGCTCCTCTGAAAATCAGAGCAGGCTGAAAGGCTCAAATGCAAGGGAGGGGTCAACACTCTACAAACATCAATTCTCAGGCTCTAAACAGAATTAAGATGCAAAGATGTAAGATGAGAAAAAAAGAAAAAAGAGAAAAAACTTTCCCCCACTACAAACTCTGAATGCACTATGGCCTGAAGCCCTGCTTCTCAGTCCCCTCTTCCAACGTAATGAAACCTGCTAGAATCCCTGGGAATCACACAGGAGAGGTGGGTTTCATTCTCATTCTCTAACTACGTAAACCTGGACCAGGCACTCAACTTCTCTGAGTCTCCTTTCCTCATCCATGAAAAGGGGACACAGCCCCCCAAGGCAAGCTGCTGTGAAAAGGCACTGAGCTAAAGCAGGAGGCCCCAACACCGCAGAAGCTTGGTAGGTACAAGTCCCTTCCAGTCCACCCGAAGCCACGTCCAGACACTTTGTGGCAGAACAGCTAGGGGACCATGGCTACCCCAAAGGTGATGGTGCTAACGGCAGGAAAGCAGGAGAAAGACACTACCCATCTGCCTAAGTGACTCAAGGACTTTTCCTCAGACCACTCAGATACTATAGCAGGCACCATGTACCCCGCCACCCCCATTCTTAGCAACTTTTAGCAACTTCAAGAAAGCGGAAGTGACTACCACTAGTTTTAAGCTACCGTTTGAAAACCATGAGGCTGGCTGCAAACGGAAGAAGGGGAAATTGTAAATGAGAAAGGAAGCCATTAAAAACGAAAACTAGCTCTGCCGCTCTGCCTCCTCCAGTTCTGCACTACCGCCTCTGGTTTGTTGTCTTGCTGTGGTGTTCTAGGGCCTTCAACACCAGCCACCCCTCAGAAGCCTGCCAGCCTCTTTCTTCCCCCACTTGGATGGCCACTGACTGCAGCTCCCACAGAGCCGTCCCCACTGCTGCCAGCATTCGTCCAAACACAGCCCTGCTGCCAGGGAACTGGTGGGCCTAGGCTTCATCTGTCACCCCTTCCTAACCTACACTGACCCACAAGCACCCAGAAATGGAGGTCAAGGGCATGGAGGTCTCTGGGGCCTCCAGAGACAGCCACCTGAGCTGCCTCAAGGCTCAGCAGAAGCTCCAACACCTGGCCACCTGGCTGCTGCCCTGGGAAGGGACAGAGCCTGCTACCGGCAGCAGGCTGGCCAGCGCCCAGCTCCCTAAAGGGCCCAGAGTCCCAGAGGACAGCATGACCGTCTCCCTCTAACATCCCCAAGCCTCCGGCAGCTCTCAGCCAAATCTGAAAGGGGGTTGGGAACACCCAATTCTAGGGACACAGTAACAGTAACGGCAACAGCAACCCCACCACCTCTGAGTGGGCCCTATGGTATGTGCCAGCTGAAAAACCCAGCACCACCCAGCAAGGAGGAATTAGGAACACCAATTTGGCAGAAGGGGCCACTGGGGCCAGAGAAGAAGGGGGACCTGTCCAAGGCCCAACAAGATGATGAGCTAGGGCTTTCCTGTGGCTTGGGAAAGCCTTGGGGAGGGTCCCCAGTTAAAGAGGACCCTCAGTGCCTCCCCCTCTCTGACCCCAAAACCACACCCTCCCAGGGGAGCTGGCAGCCCTGGTCCAACATCAAGGGATGGAATAATTAGGAAACAGAAGACTCTAGAAACACTGGCCAAGGACTGGGATGGGGACTTACTGCCCACATTCAGAACTCGTCTCCCGAAATGGCCACAGGTTTAAAGAAAAAAAGGAAAAGATCAATGAACAGATTTTGAAAAGCTCTTGGAAAAACAGAATGGGGCAGAGTGAATGTCAGTGTGATCCGAAATCTGAAAGGCTTGCGTTCACAATTTACATCCACCAAACTGAAATCTCTGTGACCTAGACCAAGGATCTCACCCCACTGAGCCTCAGTTTCCTTATGTGGGAAATACCTCACAGATGGGGTTCCTGCAAGGCAGCACTCCCTGGAGAAAGACCCACAAAACTGGTGTGCAAAGGGAAAACCAGTTTGGCATGGAAAGGCAGGTGAGCCCCCACCAAGGCAGTTCCCAAGTGATTCCTACTCTGGGAAGGCTCCTTACTCTCACCAAAGCTCCCAGACCTCTCTCGCCTCATCTCTTGCTACCTCCTGCGTGGGTGCCACACCTGACTGCCCTCCGCCGGGCTGGGCTGCTCCCTCTACCTTCCCTGAGCCCTACGAACCTGACTAGCTCCTCCTGGGTCCTTCAGGCCTCCACACAGACACCACTTTCTCCAAGGAGCCTCCCCAACTGCATCCATGTTAGGGGCCTGCTCCATGCTGCTTCCACAGCATCCCGCAGTCACCCTAGTACAGCATGTGAGCCTCAGCTCTGTGACAGGATGTGCCTGTCCAGTCATCTGCCTCCCCCTGAAAGATGCTGGCTTCCCAGGATCTAGCATAAGGCCAGGCCCAAGTAAAGCTGCTTGCTGAACTAATGAAGACTGAAGCCAGAGAAAGGTGCTCTGCTAAGGTCACTGGACCACACATCCCAGAAAAAAAAAAACAAAACTGGAAGGGAGACCAGACAAGTAAGTTCTCCTCTAACAGAAAGAAACAGTAGACGATCCAACAAAAGCTAACAGCCACAAATATGGTAGTAACTCGCAATACACAACTCACACAACACACAGCTCATGAGTCACAACGGTGCAAATAAGCCGCAACGACACACAATATCCCAGCAACGGAGCAAAGGTCTCCTTTGCGCTGCTAACATTTGGGCAGGACAGTTCTTTTTGGTGTTGGGACTGTCCCATGCATTGGAGGACACCTGGCAGCATCCTTGGCCTTCACCTCCACTCACCAGATACTCGCAGCATTCCCTCCAGCTGTAACAACCAAAAACACCTCCAGATATCGCCATATGTGCTGCAGGGGACACAACTGCCCCCAGTTGAGAACCACTGTAATAGACACTCCCAATGAAACAATAATCAAAAGAACGGCCAGGTGTGGTGGCCCACGCCTATAATCCCAGCACTTTGGGAGGCTAGGCAGGATTACTTGAGCCTACGAGTTCAAAATCAGCCTGGGCACCACAGCAGGACACCACAGCAAGAACCAGACTTTACAAAAAATACAAACATTAGCCAGGCATAGTACAAAAATACAAAAAATTGACCAAGCATAGCGGCACATGCCTACAGTTCTAGCTACTCAGGAGGCTAAGGTGGGAGGCTCACTTGAGTCCAGGAGTTCAAGGCTGCGATGAGTAATGATTATACCATTGCACTCCAGCCTGGGTGAAAGAGCAAAACCCAGTCTCAAAATCATCATCATCCACAGAGCTACCAATTGCAGAGTGCTTACTGTGCCTTGCATTCTGCCACAGCCTTCCACAAACCTTGCACTGAATCCCTAGAACCACCCTCAGAGGAGGGCAGGCCTTGTCCAGGGTCTCGCCAGTGGGAAAGGCAGAAGCCAGACTTGGTCTAGTCTGACAAAAGGTCCTCTAGCAATGAGAGGTAACGGCCTTGTCATGATCCCAATCCCAGAACTAGAGTTAGGTGGTCTCACGTACCTTAAGCAAAATGATAAGCTGGGCAAAAGTTAAAGAAAAAAAAGAAAAAGCCTAAGATTTTAAACGGCACAAGCAGCTCCAACAGCCATTCTACCACTAGTAAGCACATGTGGCCGGGGGCTGCGAGCATTTCCATGTGTACTGTGCATGTAGGCACACCAAGTACTCATGTTTTTCAGGCAACCTCAAGTCCACTGCACGCTGATGGTTAGACCCTGGCCCTTGGGCTGGATGAAATCCTACCTCAGTTTCTATACAACTGTGAACTCAGCACTGCACCTGACAGTCCAGCAACTTCCTTTCCTGAAACATCTTGCCTTTCAGGCGGGTGTTTAGGGTAATGTCTGTGTGTACAACAGCGAGCAAGAAAGACCCCAACCAGGGGTCACATTGGCCGGGACAAGTACCCCAGGCCGAGCTCCTCTGCCCCTCACCCTCCCAACACATCTGCACTCAAGGCTCCCCCGTTCCCACCTTGACACACCCGCACGTGCTGCTCCTTCCCCCAAAAGGCCCTTCTTCCCACTCTCCATCTGTCACCGCCTACTCATCCTTCCTGGACAGAAAAAGCCATCCGTCCAGCCAGTCTCACCAGTGCCTGCAGCTCTGTGGCCCCCTGCAGCTCCCTAAGTTACCTCGATCACAACACACAGGACTTGTGACTGTCCGGCTCTGCCTCTGTCCCCCCTCCAAGGACCGGCCCCACCTCCAGCAGGGCCTGGGGCTGATGCCCTCTCCTCAGTGCCCAGCGCCAGGCGCCCTGCCTGCCCTCAGCAGGCCAGAAGGGTGGCTGCTCCAGAGAAGTCCCGCTCCCAGGTGCCTCTGCACAAGAAGATGGGGGGCGGGAGAGGCTCGGTCAAGGTGGAGACGAGTCCCGCTCCCCCAGCCCTGCGCCCCAGGGTGACAGGCCACGGAGCTATGGAGGCTGCGCCACGGAAGGGGTGGCGGGGCAGAGATAGGGGCGAGAGGGAAGGGTGCAAAGTCCAGGGTAACCAGGGAGAAAGACTCCCAGGGGGCCGGGGACCGGCCAGAAGGACAAGAGAGCGGAGATGTGGCTCAGGGACTGAGCGCAGCTGCTGGGAGAGCCGGTGGGGAAAGGCCGAGGGCAAGAGACCGAGACGGGGGTGGCGGGGAGCTGAGAGAAAGAGATTAGGAGACTGCGAGGGACCAGGGAGAAGAAGCGGGGGGCCGTGGAGAGGGAACCCGAAGGAAGGAGAAGGATCCGGAGGGGAAAAGCCCGAGCGAGGTCCCCAGAGGGAAGAAGCGGGGGGCCGTGGAGAGAGAACCCGAAAGAAGGAGAAGGATCCGGAGGGGAAAAGCCCGAGCGAGGTCCCCAGAGGGAAGAAGCGGGGGGCCGTGGAGAGGGAACCCGAAGGAAGGAGAAGGATCCGGAGGGGAAAAGCCCGAGCGAGGTCCTCAGGGGGAAGAAGCGGGGGGCCGTGGAGAGGGAACCCGAAGGAAGGAGAAGGATCCGGAGGGGAAAAGCCCGAGCGAGGTCCTCAGGGGGAAGAAGCGGGGGGCCGTGGAGAGGGAACCCGAAGGAAGGAGAAGGATCCGGAGGGGAAAAGCCCGAGCGAGGTCCCCAGAGGCAAGAAGCGGGGGGCCGTGGAGAGGGAACCCGAAGAAGGACCCGAAGGGTCAAAGCCCGACCGAGGTCCCCAGAGGGAAAAGCCGGAGGGGACGCGGAGCGGGAAGGACGAGGGGGCCAGGCCTTAGAGGCAGGGTCCGGGAACGCGCCGCTCACCTGCGAGGGGGGGCGGCGGCTCCTCGCACTCGGGGCTCATCGGGGCGCCCCCCCCGCCCCGCCGCCGGCGGCTCCGGCCCCTGCTGCGGGGCCCGGTAAGTGGGGGCGGGGGCGGCCTCGGGGGCTCGCGCAGGCGCCGGGGCTCACGGGGTCCGCGCAAGCGCCTGCGGGTCGTGGGGGCCTCGCGCGCCGGGTCCCGCAGAGTTGACGGGGTCAGCGCCGGGTGGTGTCGGGGGCGGGCGGAGGGGGGTCGCGAGTCCGCGTGGGCGCCTCCGGGGTCCGCGGGCGAGGTGGGCGCGCGGGCCAAGGCGGGTCGCGGGTGAGCCGGGTCGCGAGGCCCGCGCAGGCGCCTCAGCCGGGAAAACGGGGGAAGTCGCTCCGGTTTCCACAGCCCGACCCAGCGCCTGGCGGGAGGGCAAGACGTCCTCCTCCGCGGTCCAAACGGGCACAGAGCCGAGCAGCGATCGACGGACGCCGAAGCCTACTTCCTTAACCACCCCTTCCCCAAAACCGCTCAGTCTCCGAGCCGTGCGGCCCTCCTCTGGCCCTCCGACGCCCGGCTCCCTCCGCCACTATCCCACAATCCCCCTAGCGCCGGACGACGCAGGAGGCCCCGCCCTCCCGTGGCGGTCTCGCTGCGCAGGTGCGGGAGGGGCCGCACGCTTGGGCGGTGCAGCGCGCGTGCGCCGGAGCACTCCCGACCCCGCCCACTCTTGAACACCGCCGCCTTAGACGCGCTTGCGTCCGTTGGCGCCAACGGTCTGGCTCGGAATAAACCCAGAAGGCTCAATGCGCAGGAGCTGGTGTGCACTAGGTTGTTCACTGTTGTGTCCGGTTTACTCTACGGCTCCGTTCCAAGGTCCAGTCGATACTCCAGGATTTCCCTTCGCACTCGCTCCGTTTGGAAATCGGTTCGCTGTTCTGTCTCTTCTGATCAAGTCCGGCTTTGGCTCCAGGGTCGGGCTCTTGTGGAATCCAGATCTGGTTATCGCTCCAGCCGAAGCCAGGCGCCCTCGTCCCGCCTCTCTTACTAAGCCGCCTTGGAACCTCAGGGGCCTTCAGTCCTTTCCATCTGCAGACGACTGTCCCGGCCGGGGCTTTCTTGTTGCCAGATCCGCCCAAAGCCGCCTCTAATAGCATCAGGCTGAAAGGCACAGCCATGTGTCTAGACTGATGAAGGTCCCATCTGGCTTTGAACCTCAGCTTCCCCAACTTTAATGGCCCCCCTCACTACCCGTATTAGAGGCCTACTGTGACAATCGTGTGCGTGCGAGGAACTTAAGTTGTTTTTTTAAGACTGCAAATTGGCCGGGCGCGGTGGCTCAAACCTGCAATCCCAGCACTTTGGGAGGCCGAGGCGGGTGGATCACGAGGTCAAGAGATCGAGACCACCCGGGTCAACATGGTGAAACCCCGTCTCTACTAAAAATACAAAAATTAGCTGGGCATGGTGGCGCGTGCCTGTAATCCCAGCTACTCGGGAGGCTGAGGCAGGAGAATTGCCTGAACCCAGGAGGCGGAGGTTGCTGTGAGCCGAGATCGCGCCATTGTACCCCAGCCTGGGTAACAAGAGCGAAACCCTGTCTCAAAAAAAAAGGACTGCAAATTGACTAGGTGCAGTGGCTCAAACCTGCAATCCCAGCACTTTGGGAGTTCCGAGGCGGGAGGATGGCTAGAGTCTCGGGAGTTCGAGACCAGCTTGGGCAACGTAGGAAGCACCCCCCCCCCCCCCACCAACCCCAGTATCTACAAAAGAAAATTTTAAAGATTGGTTGGGCGTGGTGGCCCGCGCCTGTGTTCTCAACTATCCGGGAGGGAAAAAAAGAATTCCAATCATGAATTTGTGTCCTTCACATCTGTTAGCTTCTAATCGCTTTTTTTTTTTGAGGCGGAGTCTCACTGGGTTTCCCAGGCTGGAGAGCAGTGGTACGATCTCGGCTGGCTGCAACCTCCGCCTCCCAGGTTCAAGTGATTCTCCTGCCTCAGCCTTCCAAGTAGTTGGGATTACAGGCGTGCACCACCACACCCAGCTAATTTTTGTATTTTTAGAAGAGACGGGTTTCTCCATGTTGGCCAGGATCCTCTGGAACTCCTGACCGCATGTGACCTGCCTTCCTCGGCCTCCCACAGTGCTGGGATTACAGGTGTGAGCCACTGCGCCCGGCCAGAGTTGCTTTTATCTTTGTTGCCTTCACCAGCATCCCCTGGTGAACGGTTTTTCAGCCCTGTCTCTTCTGGTCCCTGCTGTTTCCAGTGTTCGTGTTGCATACGGTGTTGTTTGGCCCCTATTAGCTATTATTGCATGACAGTCTCGGTAGCTTGTATCATGTGAGCTTGGAGCTGCAGGTATGAAGGTTGGTAAGACCGGTTCTGCTCCTCATCTTTCATGCGCAGCGGGCTACTCAGGGCACCATCTCATAATAAAAGGCAGGTACACAAGCAGTCAAGCCCACCTGTGTTAGCCTATTTCAAGTCTCCAGTGGCCTCCCATCTGCCACTGTCCACTGATCAAAGAAAGACATAATCCGCCCTGGCTCAGTGGTGCACACCGGTAATTCCAGCACTTTGGGAGGCCAAGTGAGGATCATGAGGTCAGAAGTTCGAGACCAGCCTGGCCAACGTGGTGAAACCCCATCTCTACTAAAAATACAAAAATTAGCCAGGTGTGGTGGCATGCACCTGTAGTCCCAGCTACTCCGGAGGCTGAGGCAGGAGAACAACTTGAACCCGGGAGGCAGAGGTTGCAGTGACTGAGATCACACCATTACACTCCAACCTGGGTGACAGAGGGAGACTCTGTCTCAAGAAAAAAAAAAGCAAATTCACCCCTCTGCCCTTTTTGTTCTGTCTGTTCAGACTCTCAATGGATTGAATAATGCCAGCTCACATTGGTGAGGGAAGATCTTTATTCAGTCTGCTGATTCAAATGCTAGTCTCTTCCATAAATACCCTCCTAGACACAGCCATGTTTCACCAGCTATCTGGGCACCTCTTAGCCGAGTCCACACCTGAAATGAACCATCACAGAGAGGCATTCCTTTCCTTTTTATCTATAGGGATGTTTCGTCTTCTACTCAGCATTTGGCTTCCTTGTTTTCCCCACAATATGATGGCATCATTGCCACATTGTTGTTGTTTTTTTGTTTTTTTGGTTATTTTTTTGAGACAGAGTTTCGCTCGTTACCCAGGCTGGAGTGCAATGGCGCGATCTTGACTCACCGCAACCTCCGCCTCCTGGGTTCAAGCAATTCTCCTGCCTCAGCCTCCCGAGTAGCTGGGATTACAGGTGCACATTCACCATGCCCAGCTAATTTTTGTATTTTTAGTAGAGACGAGGTTTCACCTTGTTGACCAGGATGGTCTCGATCTCTTGACCTCGTGATCCACCCACCTCGGCCTCCCAAAGTGCTGGGATTATAGGCGTGAGCCACCGCTCCCGGCCTTGCCACACTGTTTTAACACAGAGGTCAGGGACCGACGGGTAGGGAGGTGGCTAGTCCCTACCCTTCAAATGGAGGCTGGGCAGCTGTGAGGGCTTTAAGAACTGAAGTCTGGGTTTCCACCCCACAGACCTCGCAGATGTACAATTGTGTTTGCATTGGAATTGGAACTTTCTTTTTAAGAGACTGGGTCTGGCTCTGCTGCCCAGGCTGAAGTGCATGGCACGATCACAGAGAACTCCTGGGTTCAAGCGATCCTCTCACCTCAGCCTCCCAAGTAGCTGGGACTACAGTTGGAACTGATTTTAAGACAGGGTCTCGGATCCTCCAGGCACCTCTCAATTTGTCCTGGATTTGGGAAGAGGGGTGATAAAAACCTACCCAAGGCGGCCGGGCGCGGTGGCTCAAGCCTGTAATCCCAGCACTTTGGGAGGCCAAGGTGGGTGGATCACGAGGTCAAGAAATCGAGACCATCCTGGTCAACATGGTGAAACCCCGTCTCTACTAAAAATACAAAAAATTAGCTGGGCATGGTGGCGCATGCCTGTAATCCCAGCTACTCGGGAGGCTGAGGCAGGAGAATTGCCTGAACCCAGAAGGCAGAGGTTGCAGTGAGCCGAGATCACGCCATTGCACTCCAGCCTGGGTAACGAGCAAAACTCCGTCTCAAAAAAAAAAAAAAAAAACCTACCCAAGGCTGGGTGCGGTGGCTCACTCCTGTAATCCCAGCACTATGGGAGGCCGAGGTCAGGAATTCGAGACCAGCCTGGCCAACATGGTGAAACCCCCGTCTCCATTAAAAATACAAAAATTAGCCAGGCATGGTGGCCAGCACCTGTAATCCCAGCTACTTGGGAGACTGAGGCAGGAGAATGCTTGAACCCGGGAGGCGGAGGTTGCAGTGAGCCGAGACCGTGCCACTGCACTCCAGCCTGGGTGACAGAGGGAGACTCCATCTCAAAAAACAAACAGAAAAAACCAACCCAAATAGACTAAACAAATTCCACATGCACAAGTACAATCCACACAAAAGTAGTGAGTCTGACGTCAGATTGTCCTCAGGAACCAGGATACAGGAAAGAGATGGATGGCTCTGCAATTAGCTCAGGTTTGAATCCTAGCTGTGAACTTGGTCAGGGCTCAGCCTCCTCTGGGCTCCACCTTCTCTTAAAAAACAACAGCAGTCAAGGCTCTTGCCTGCATATGACAAAATTTCTTGTGGCTAAACAGAAAAGGAATTAAAGGCGATGAGGCAGCCCCTGGACACCCCACCTCCCGCCCCAATCCCACATCTCTGAGAAGGCTACGGAATCCGCTTGGTGCTTTGCAGTCAGGAATGAAGCCCACACCCAGCCACACAGGCTTGCTCCTGAGACAGTGCAGCCTCCATCACAGGCACCTGGCTCAGACACACCCGCCAGATCCTCTGCCAGCCTCCTCCAGAAGCCAGAACGCAACCGGGGCAGGTGCCCCTCCACCGCCAGCTCTGGGTCCAGACAACCGGCAGCTCTGATTGGTAGAGGAGCTAGACCACCAGCGGGTTCTGATTGGAGGGTCCTGACTGGTGGAGTTAAGTCACTTGACTACCCTACAGCAAAGGATGCTGGGAAGGGAAATGGCTGCTACTCTAGGGAAGATTTCAATGTGTAGCCTTGGGAATTCCTCAAACCTACATTTAGGTTTGCCAGGTGGCCGAAAGAGGACAGATGTTCCACACACTCTTGCTCAAGAAAGGCAGTGACGATCAAAGGACACAACAGCTCTGTAGATGATAAACAGCAACACTTTTATTTTCCCTCAGTGGCTCCCCAAGTCCCTTAAACTCGTGCCCCTCCTCCCGTCCCCCATGTACCCTCCAAACGAGGTGACAAAGGTGGCAGTGAACAAGTGGGAGGAGGAGAAACACCTTTATTGGAAAAGTTGTGTAGACAAGAGAATGGGGATGAGAGTGAGCATGGGAGGTGGGGTCCAAGAACCTGGTGCCTTTCTCAGAGCCCCTTCCAGGGGCTACGCAGAGATGGGCTGGCACACCCCAGGTCCAGGCACCTAGGTCCTGCGATCCCTTGGGAGAGGGCTTTGTAGGTGGGGAGGGAGGCAAGAGGCCTGGGGTTCCCACGGAGAAGGGGGCAAGAAGCCACCTGGTTTCACCGATCCATGCTGTCATCGGTCGGGCTGGAGAAACACGTCTGTAACAGCTTTTCACAGAACTCCAGCTCCTCCTGGATTGGGCAGGGGCAGGGAGCAAGGGACCTGAGTACAGAGGGAGGACCCTGCCTCCCACACTCTTGGCACCCAGAGGGGATGCCTCTTCTGGCCACCACCCACCCACTCCAGAGGTTAGGCTTCTCTAATCACTGCTCACAGCCATGATTTACTGTCTTCACACGTGTCTGCACTACTTGAACAAAACCCACGGTCTCCCACCGTCATCTCACTAGGTTTGTCTGCCTTAGAGCGGCAGTCTTAGACTCCTTCTCACTCCCAGGTATTGACCACCTCTCAAAACTTTCTGCAGACACAAAGCCCAGAAACAATGACAGAAAGCACTGACAGGTTAAACCATGTAAATATCAAAGATACTTCCAAGGCAAAAGAAAGAAAACGAGGTTGGGGGAAAAATATTTGTGATTCATAGCACAAATGGCTAATACACTTAACACTTAAAGAGCTTAAAAAATCGCCAGGCGCGGTGGCTCACGCCTGTAATCCCAGCACTTTGGGAGGCCGAGGTGGGTGGATCACGAGGTCAAGAGATCGAGACCATACTGGTCAACATAGTGAAACCCCATCTCTACTAAAAATACAAAAAAATTAGCTTGGCATGGTGCCTGTAATCCCAGCTACTCGGGAGGCTGAGGCAGGAGAATTGCCTGAACCCAGGAGGCAGAGGTTGTGGTGAGCCTAGATCGCGCCACTGCACTGCAGCCTGGGTGACAGAGAAAGACTCCATCTCAAAAAAAAAAAAGAAAAGAAAAAACGCTGGGCACGGTGGCTCACTGTAATCCCAGCACTTTGGGAGGCTGAGGTAGGTACATCACGAGGTCAGGAGTTCAAGACCAGCCTGGCCAACATGGTGAAACCCCGTCTCTACTAAAAGACAAAAATTAGCTGGGCATGGTGGCGTGTGCCTGTGATCCCAGCTACTCAGGGGGCTGAGGCAGGAGAATCGCTTGAACCTGGGAGGTGGACATTGCAGTGAGCCAAGACTGCGCCACCGTACAGCAGCCTGGGCAGCAGAGTGAGACTCCATCTCAAAAAAAAAAAAAAAAAAAAAAGAGGCCATCCACACTGTACAGCTGTAAAA